GGTAGGTAGGTTTGTGATCCCAGTGAGATCTGCTGAAGGTTTTACCTTCACCCTAAATGAGAGAAGGCCTCAGGGAAGTTTGCATCAAGGAACAACAGAACAGGCATTGTTTGCTATTCAGTGTCTTAGTCAGCCTGCCTTTCTGTCTGAAAATAGCTGTAAGCAGAGAAGGCAAACCTTTGAAAGATGGAGGAGACAGACCTTCTACAAGGCTGTTGTAGTCAACATAAGAGATGCTAGCGGTTCATAAGAGACCACCACAAAGAACCATGTGTTGCATGTGATGCATGGTGCTGTTCCTGTGGAATACCTGTGCAAACAACCTGCAGAATACAATGGAGGCATTGCCCGGGGCTGAAGGAAGTAAGCAGTAATGGCTAGTGAGAGCAGGGATGCTTGGGGTGATAAAGTATTATCAAGTTGATTGGGGTAACGTTGTACAGTAATCACACCACTGAGAACAGGTGAGTTGAGTGTGTGGCCGGTCAATACAGCTGTTTTTGATAAGTGATATGGTGTAGTCATGAGAAGCACCAAGATAAAGGGAAATGTGTGGGAGCAGAGGCATCAAGGTTTACCAGGGGAGGAGCTGTGGAATGGGAAGGTAAAAGTAGCTCCGAGATGGAGCAGCTGGACAATGCAGTCCTGGTTTCTGAACTGACAGAAGGTACAGATCTAGGGAGAAATTCTTTTCAGTCATCTTAAAAATCATCTTAAAATAAGTTTGGTACTTGGACCTACTCAGTACTGTGTGTGTATAGTGTGTACCTCTACAGATGGATTGTGAACTTTTTCCTGCCCATGTAGGATTGTAGGATCTGCCGTCTGGGAAGGTAATAGGTTATTCCTATTTCATAGGTCTGCTTCTTTAACTACTGAGTCTGTAAGTCCAAGTGATTGTTACATGGTCAACTTGCTTGAAATAATGATTCTCTTGTAGCAATTTTAAAACAGTCCCATATGCATAATGAAGAATTCCATGTAAGCAACTCTGGGAAGGAAAAGGCTGAAAAATGAAAGCTCAAAAATGTTCCCACCTGCCTGTGGACCATCCCTCTATGTGTCTGTCACATGACACAGATGCCTTCAGTGACCCCCCCCAAATAATCTCTGTGTGTCTGTCATATGACACAGAGGCCTTCAGCGGCCCCCTGAAACAACCCCCAGGTTTCTGACCCTTAGATAAGAGTCACCTCTTTGGTGGGTGTGGTTCATAGACTGTTCCCGAGCCCTTCATGATGAAGCAGACCTGCACGTGCCCTTCTGCTCACTGGATACACAGGTCCTTGTTGTCACCGAAGCAACAGCTTTGCCTTGTGAGGCGTGGTTATGAAGCCAGAAGCACCTTCAGGATCTTCAAGGGGCCATAACTCCACAATTCCATAATATAACCTTGTCACCAAAGTCATTTATAGAACACCCCCTCTGTATATATAGATAAAAATGGATTGTATTTCGAATAAAACAAGCCAATGTGAGGTAAATATGGGTCCTTATATATTTTTTTTTTCTTCACGAAAGAAAGCAAACATTCACTTCCACAACTTTTCTGTGTCTTCCAGAGAAGAGAGTGAGAGTGTCCTGACCCTGAAGGGCCTGACCCCGACAGGCATGCTCCCCAGCGGAGTGCTCTCCGGAGGGAAACAGACCCTGCAAAGCGGTAAGCGAGCCCAGTGCTGTGACTGGGAGCACACGGCCAGCTGTACCAGTAGAACCTTGAGTTTCTCATTCAGCTCAGTCTTCTCTTCAGTTCTTCTTGACTGGAAGAAGGCCTAACGCTCACATGTCAGTGTGATCAGTCATGTCCCACCTGAAAGCACTGTCCTTCACCTCAGGCCACGCTCCACCCCTCCTCAGCACACGCATCCATGTCTTCAGGCCTCCTTATGGGACATCTCACTTAGGGCACATGTGCACGCAGCTGGAGCTTTGAGTCGGAGCTCCCCTCTCTCGGCCAGTCATTCAGTATAAAATTTCTGTTACATTTTCATAACTTGTCTGCCTATCTACATGATTGATGAAGTCTACACACAAATATAGGTTTGCATAGCTATAGATTTTATTGGAAAGACTATAAAAAGGGTAATTTAATTACCCACTTAAGCAGAAATGAAACTTAAACAGGCCTTTTCTCTGACTCATCAGAAATACAAGAAGAGAGATCTCAACTGCATTTTGGTTTATTTTTTAAAATAATAACATCTTTTTTAAGTAGACATTTTACTCTATAGTCCTAACTGGCTGGACAAGTATCAGCCAGTATAACTTTTTGTGATAATGGGATTTTTTTATGGCTGCAAAGGCCGCTGGTGACACAGAACCACTGAACAATCGACATATAACTAACAACCCCTAATTTTCAACAAATTTAACTTAAATATAGCTAGTATCACCCATGTTAGACAACACAATTATGTATACTTTTTCTTCTGTTATGTATGTTCTTTTGTCAGTTTAATTAACACTACCACTAATTAGAATATAGCTTATACACTATGGAAACTTTGCTGTTAGGTTAGATTTGAACAGAAAACAAACACAGCAAAAATATAGTATAGTATTTTAATATAATCTCAGCCTCTAGTTTATTTCTGCCCTGGATCTTTCTTCTATTTTCTTTCCTACCTCTGTCCTATATCCTAAAAGACACAGGTATTTGGTTACCATTACATCATTAAGACATTTCTTCTACACAACACATAATGATCAACTCATGGGCACAAAACTGTCAGACCATCACACTTTATGAAGAACAGACATAACCTTTATTTTTGGATGAATTTCCTCTAAATCCACAGTCTTTGAGCTGATGCAAAAGTTCAAAAACAGTTCGGTGAAAACAGGAAAATCTATAGCAACTGAGGTAAACAACAACAAAAAAATCCCCCTTTAAACCTGTAGAAATTAATTGCTTCATAAACACACAAACTTTTCCAGCAAGATGAACATACTGAGAGATTAGCATAAGATCATTTATATACCCAGAATGCAATTCTGCCCAGCTGATGGAAGGCCACAGCTTCTGTGAGCGCAGCGCACAGTAGAGATACACACACCATCAGGGACTGACCGCAGACGGCCTGTGCTGAGGATAAGCTAGGCTATGTGTATTTCTACCCAGCGGTGCTGGTGTGGTCCCAGGGTTTCGGCTTTGCTTCTAAACCTGAGGTCTTTCTGTTTTACACTGCATAGTGTCACCTTCAGATCGTCACCTGTGTCTGTAGCTTCACTGACTCAAGTTCCTTTCTTTTCTTTTAAACCCATCTGTTTGTGCTCTTCTCTGTTGAGTTCACACATACACACACACACACACACACACACAATCACAATCGCACATACTCTAGGTTGAGACTTCATTTGTCCCGAGAATTTGAAAATTCAGTATATGTTTAAAACCGATACACTGCCATTGCCTCACGATTCATATCTGACCCCCTTCCCTTGGCCTAAGAGGAGATGCGGCACCAAGATCTGACAATTCAGATCTCCTCTGTGGTTATGAGGAATCCAGAATGTGTTGCTAACTGGAATGCATACGTGGCCAATAATGAATGCACCTCTTAAATAAAGTTCAACCAGAGACCGCCATAAGTCATGCAGAACAGCTCTACAAAGCAGCTACCCCAGCACCCCCATCACCCATTAATCCCAACCCATTACCATTGTAAACCACTCACCCGCCCATACTATTGAACTCTAACACCATCTCAACCCCTTCATAATAGTTACCAATAACATACCTATCTCCGTCAAAATACTCACTGTTGTAGCTTTCAATTTTAAATCACTAGAAAATGCAAATTGAAGTCCAGGGATAGAATAATACCAATGTTCAGCATTTTGAACTTAGAGGACAATTTAATGTTTTAGCCTTTGAATAAGGGAGCATCATCTAAACTCCTCCACCTGCACAGGGAAGCTGTAAAGCCTAAGTAAGTGGTGGGCTTACTCGACCTTTGAAGCTACGGTTTCAGTATATCATTGTACTTTACTCAGAGACTTCCTTACTGAGTAGCTTCAACCATGAGTCGCCCCGTTCCTGAAGATGCTAATTCATTTATTACTGCTCCTGCCATGTCCCCACTTAACATGCAACACTCTGAACTTCATTTCCAAAAATGGTATTGTAAAGAGAAAAAAAAAAAATCAGGACTCAGCCTGCCTGGCTAAAGATGTCCAGGCCTTGACATTCCCTCTGTTGTTCCCTGCCTCTCCCATCTTTGAAGACTCCTATGTGTTTGCCACCTAGATAGCTTGATTTTGTGTCCTTTTAACTGCCCTCCCACCCCCATGCATCTCTATCTCTAGAGGAAAAAACTGGCATTTACTATTCGCTAGCATAAAGCATCTGACCGACGTCACAGCCCCGCTCCAAGCTCGCCCTGTTCCTCCGACATTCCACTACAGATCACCAAGCGTGCATTCTAAAGTGCTCTTAGAATCAGAAACATTGTAGATTTCCATAACCCAATTGTCAGCTCAACCGAAATAACAGCAAGCATTTCTGCACGTTTCCCTAAACGACTTTGTCATCGATTAGTGAGCCAGGACTCCAGGCCACCTTTCCCTCCCTCAGGTGTACGCAGGCCATGACTGACACCTCTCACTTCTGCGGTATTGTTTCCCCTTTCTTTGTAGCCTCTCTGTCTAGTTGTCTGTGCCAGAAGCCCGCACTTAGAGGCACATTAGTCCCCCCCAGTTCCTTTGATCGTCACTGACTTGTTCTTAGCCTTAAACCAATCCTCTGCTCATTTTCTCATTCATTTTGCACCCCTTTCTTCTTCTCTTCAGCTACTGTTGAGGCTATTGAGGCTGATGAAGGTAAATTGGCCAGTTCCCTTTCTGTTGTGCCCGCAACAGACAAGGGCTCTGCTGGGTGTATTCTTTTTTTTTTTTTCCGCTGTAGCTTGTACAGAGTGTGTGGGTGTTGGGCTAACAGTTGTGGCTCAGTATTAACCAAAACGTTCTTGCTTTAAAGGGGAAAGTGTCCTTCTATGGTTTGTTTGTTTGTTTTTTTCCCTTAAAGCTATGTTTGACTTTTGTATACAATGAACGTAGTCTAATCACAGAAAACTAAAGGATTATATATCGATATTTATAAATTTCTATCTCTCGTGGATGATGTGGGGTGGGGGTTATGGCAGCTGCTTTTGACAAATGATAATGTAAAAATCAGTATGCTTTGAGCTGAACCATCCCTCCCTCAAATCACTCCCAGGTAGGACAGAGACAAGAGAGAGTAAAATTAAGTCGATTCTAGTCTTCATAAGCTCGCCACAACGGAAATGCTTGGTAGTGCTTTGTTACGGTTCGGCATCACTTACGTCTCTAAAATACTGCAACGGGAGACAGATGTGTGGAGGTAAACTCTTATCCTCGGCAGTTTTGACCAATTGCTATTTGGAAGGAAGTTAGCACTCACAAAAGAGCCCAAAAAGTTTCTGTGGCCGTGTCGTGGCCAACAACGAGACTATTGAGCAGACAATTGATTAATGATTCCGAGCGTCTGCTCTATGCCAGGCCTCTTGCTAGGAGCTTAGGAAATTGAGAATGGTGCATCTCCAACTGTCTTCTAGCACTACTCAAGAGCAGCGTTGTTGACACTTTAGATTTACTGTTTTAATTGAATGCTGTCTTACTACATGGTTATACGAGAACTGTACATGAATATAATGTTCAATATTATGCATACCACACCCTCTGGAATTTTTAAAGCATAATTTGAAGTTCCCCTTTAAAACAAAATTCTTCAGTTGTATTTTGTTCTTGCAAAATAACTGATTTTTTTCACAAATTGTGTGCGTATATAGTCCTTTGGTGTGTTGTTTAAAAAAAAAAGTGTCACTTCAGCTCTACGATTTGCTCACGATTTGGATATAGTAGGGGAAATGACAGTGATGTAAGAGAAAAATACAACTGTTTCCTAAATAGCAGTGAGCAAGCTGCTATTTATGTGGGAATTCTCCATTCCTCTCGGCAAAATCTAATCTGCAGTGTGCATTCCTGTTGATAGTTTGGCTGTTTTCTGTGACTCTGTGGCTCTGTGTTGTGTTAAGTACCCTCCCAATGTAAATTGCTAACCCCCACTGTCTGACCAGCAACTGGAGCAGAACTGGAGCAGAGCACTTTCTTCTGTGCAGGGTAGGGACAGACAGACAGGCGCCATCCGCAATGGAGCCGCATCCTGAACGAGCCCCCGTTCCGCTAGATTTGGCATTTCCTATGCCCCCGCCCTATAGGTTGCAAAACCTGGAGCTTCCACTTTATTTTTTTTAATGAATGAAACAGTTTCATGATTAATCACGGTCAACTTTTGGCTATGAGATGATGCCATTTAGAAAAAGACTAGGGTGCCTGCTATTTTTGCCCCATAAAATAATTGAATTCATTCTCAGGGTGGGCGCTCATTGGCCAACACAGTTATTTTTTCAGTTTATTACCAAATTGCAAAATTAAGAAGCTTTGCTTTGGGCCTTGGTCCTTCCCCATCTCCCCATGTTCTTCCTCCCACACTTGACTAATCACCACTTTGCTAACCTGAAAATGCAGACGGGGAACAATTTGTTTTTCTTTCTAATGAGCTTTTAAAGCACTGTGTAAATCTCCGAGGACTGTCATCTCTACTAGTGAGAGGCTGCACATTTGTGTCCAAGTGGCTGGCAAAATGGAAGCCTTAACCGGCTCTCCAGGTTTCCTCCCAATGTGGGGAGGGTATAAGTACCTTGAAATTGTCCTTCATATGCTGTGGAGATGCAGCCCAAGTCAGCACTGGTGATTGGCCACCCGTCCATACCTTGCTCGCACTTCACAGGGAGTGAAGCAAGCTGCTGTCGTTGGTTCCCCATCTGTGTGTGTTTTATTTTCAGCTCACTGTTGGTGTACCCACTGAGGAAGTTATTAAGTTTTTCAAAAGTACCTCTCATATCTCTGGAGCACACACAGGGTCATTAGAAGAGAACGCAAGAGAAGTCAAGGTTTTAATTAAAAGGACCAAAACCAATTCAATTCATTGTTGCTCAAAATTTGTGAAAAGCATTCATCTCTGCTTTTCCTTTAACCCCAACTTATTGTTGCTCTACAGAGAGGGGGTTCTCCCTGGTATAGGTCGTCCCGAGTACCAGATGCACATCAGTTTGACCTGTTTGCTGCTGAAGGGCAGAAAATGCTTCTCTGCTGAGTCATCTGACCTTTATTTTTGAGTTTCACTTACCCCCTCCCTTACCCACTGTATATAGACTTCTAGTGCAAAGTGGGGGGGGGGAAAGCTTATAATTTCATTTTCCCTCATACCATTGAGTTGATAGCTTTGTGGAATTTAGAGATGGCAAAACCACACACGTCCCTGCCCATTCATTTTCTAGTTCCTTGGACCTTCTGTTCTAAGCCTTGACTAGAAGTTCTGGGTAGAGCAGAAAGGGCTTTCACTGAAGTGGCCATCCCTAGCATGGCAGTAGAGTCAGAACGGGGGACACGCAGGCTCTTTAGCCCAGGGTATCCATGGATCATCACGCTAGTGATGTGGCCAGTGATGCTGGATCCCAGAAACCTACCTGCCCCTGAAACAGCTTTTTTCCTTATCCACTGTGGATTTCTGTGAACTAAACTTTGATGAAGACAGGAGAAATGCTTACATCTTAATCACTGCAAGAGGACATTTTGGTTGGCAAGAGACATTGGCTGTTTCAAACCCTTGGTTCCCTCCAGTATGGTAAGGAGTCTTGTGTTGTCCTCAGGTCCCCTCACATTGTTCTCCACTAAAGGACCCACCCACTCTGAAGTCTCTAACCTCACCCGACACGACCGCGGTGCCACCGGTGGTGCTCCACCTAACCTAACCCTCTCTCTCTTTTTTTAATGATTTGTTGTTTAGCTATCAAAGGATTTTCACCACAACATAAGATCACTAGCTTCGAGGAGGCGAAGGGCTTAGACCGAATTAACGAGAGGATGCCGCCTCGCAGAGATGCCATGCCCTCCGACGCCAACCTTAACTCCATCAACAAGGCTCTCGCCTCAGAGACTAACGGCACGGACAGCAACGGCAGTAATAGCAGCAATATTCAGTGACCACTTCCTGTTCACTCTTTTTTTTTTTTTTTTTTTTTGAGCTGCAGGTCATGATGGGATTGCTGCATCTCAGCAGTTGGATGTTCTTGCCTCTGACGGTAGCTTGTTTGCTCTGGGGGCCAGGAATTGGATTCAGTTTACACTATCATGAAGTTTAAAAAAAAAAAAAAGAGGGAGAGAGATAATAAACTATATTTTGGTGAGGGTGGTGATTAAACACCTCTTTTGGGTATGCCTTTAAAATATGCTTCTAGGAAAAAAGGATTTAAAAAGAAAGCTAATGCTAGTCTATACTGCAATGTGAGGGAAATGGACGCGTTTTCCTACTACGCTGGGGACTTCTAGATAGGTTAATGAAAGGCCTTTTACTCTGTTACTGGACACGAAAACTTTGTCTAATTTCTTATACTCTATTGTTCGTTTACAGTGCAGCACTAAAAATGGATGACATCAAACATTTTTAACGACAACAAAAAAAATGATGTACAAACTAAACAAGGACTATTTATTGATAAGGTTTTGCTACTTTCGTCAGACAATGGCTAGAAACTGAATTAGGCAGTCTTAAAAAAAAAACCTGGAAAAAAAAGAATGTTGCAAATTTGTTAAAATGCCAAAAAAAAAAAAGGACAGTTTAATTTTGTATAGCTCGTGCTTACCTCAGGTTCCTTTAGTTTGCTTGAATGCCCTTCTTTCCATAGAGCACTTATTAATTTGGCAGTGAATACATTTTCTTTAAGTTTTAAAAAAAAACTGGAATAATTACACCCATCTTTTTTGCTGTTTATATTTAGGGGTTTTGTTGATAAATCAAGTCTCAGTTGTGGCTTGCTGAATTCAATATTTATGAGTGGTGCATTTTTAAGTATAGTGAACACAACACCATAGTGCAGTGACGAAGCATCTATATTCTGTAAAAAACAAAAACAAAAAAAAATCTGCCTATGCATGTTTTTTAAGAAAAAAAATAAAATGGCTGTATCGGCCTGTATGGGACTGTAATGCGCTTAGTGGTCTGACATATACTGGAAATGTATGTATACTGGCGTACTTTATATTCTCTAAAATGCTTAATGCCTTTGAAATTTTGTAATCAAAAAAAAGCTTTGAAAACAATCTAAAGGGGAGAGTATTCTTAAAAGTTTTTAACATAAGCTTGTCAGTGCACACATAGATGGTTGGCATGTTTAGCAAACTTTGTGAAATTTAAATAAGTTTGTAGTTACATGTGAAACTCTAAATGCATGGTAACCGTTAATGTCATAACAATTTAGTTATTTCGTTCTGTTCTGTCATGTGCCACAAAAATATGTACTTTTTTTTCACTTTTTTTTTCCCTTTGTATATTAGTTACGGGTTACAACTGGTTCATTCTGAAAACAACAACAAACAGCGAAAGTCCATTCATATTTTTTAACAATTGTATAAGTGCCCAAGTCATTCACTACAGCCTAAAGCCTTGCCTTTGTAATTTGACTTCTGAAATGTTGGCAGTCAAAGCATGCACCTGTAACCATGACAAAGGAAAAGCATTTTATATTACTATTCAATAAAATGTGCATGAACTTAAAGAACGTTCCTCCTTTCACTGAGTCTGCTGAAGGGAATCTTGTGCACAGCCACCATGGAGTCCTCTGGCTGCTGGCCCTTCACCACCCTGCACCCTTAGGACAGGCTGCTTCCCAGGGGCCTCATGATCTGAGGAGTGCTACCCACTTCGCCTATAAACGTCTTGGTGGATTTGCTTCTCAAAAATCAGGCGAGAGAAGTCTACCTAGAGAGCAAATGCCATCTTCCGGCTCCCTTGAATGCAGGGCCTATTTAAGAAACTAAAGCATTCCTTTTCATTGAAAACTAAAAATGAAATAATCACCAGTTTGTTATCAGGTTGTTCCAGTTGTGTGGGATGCCCCCCCTCTCATCTCTAGCAAGAAGGACGAGTCTCCTAGGCACATTTCCATCAGAGGAGAGCTGCTTTTATAGTGCCCTGAAGTTTGTGTTCCCGTGCTTCAGTTAGTACCACACGGAGGTTTAGGAGACACCACGTTTCAGTTTGTTTCTAGCATTGTTCATTTTTCAGTGCACTTTGTTTATGTAATAAATTATGCCTATTATATTAAGTAATAAGAATATGACAATCAGTAATAGAGTGTACCAAAACAAAGATACATTCGCTGACAAAACTTCCCCAGGGTTATTTGAATGAATCAAAACGTTTTTTTCTTTTCCCTGTGGATATTTTCCTATCTTTAAACAAAAGTGGCATCCAAGGAAAACAGATACAACTTGCTAGAATGGTGTGGAAGAAATGATAATTCTGGTACCAATTTGTGTATTTTCTTTCTTCTATCTGCAGAGAAAATATCCCAAAAATATTATTATTCATAATAATAATAACAATCAGGTTTTTTGGATTCCTTTCTTTTGCAAATTGTGCTAAGGAAACTATGGCATAGAAATAAACATTTGACATTGAAATAAGCAGTTTCTGTGAGTATTGCTTGTCTTTTTGCTCAGTGTTAGGAAAGAGACACTATTTTTTTTCACGTTATAATTTGATCTGTCAAAAAAATTTATATAGAGCTGAAGATCTTCTCCAGAACCAACAACACTGCCAAACCTTTGTTACTAGTCCTGTCTCTTTAAGATGTGGCCAGACTATTGGACTCATGTGTTAATCTGTCTGGGTGCCTGGGTACAAACACACACACATATGTATGGGCACTCACACAGCCACTCTGATCCCCAGCTGCCATTGCCTGGACCAGCGTGACTCACTTATCACAAGTTACCAGTTCTGCTGAATTTGTATGAAGTCTTTGGAGTTGATCTGCTGGCCCCGCCGCGGCAGGCTTTCTTTTCCGTACATTCATCTTACATGTATTTTCAAAAATAATTTTTTAGAAAAAAAGCTTGAGAAGTTCACCTGTGATGAGAATCAAGTGTGGTGTCTCAGTCTGACCCGCCACTGAGGGTCGCTGAGAACACTGGAGCAGTCCACGGCACCTGTCCACGGCACCTGTCCACGGCACCTGTCCACGGCACCTGTCCACCAATCACTTAGGGTCTCTGTGAACACTGGAGCAGTCCACAGCACCTGTCCAGAAAATGGTCCTGTGATGCTATGGAAACCCTCTGAACCATTTTGTCCTGAAACATTTGCTAGTTATATGTTCATTTTTAATGCATATATAGTAACAAAGGGCACAAAATTAAGAAATAATGTACCTATTTCTGGTGACCATATTGTCAAGAGGCAACTGACTTGTTGGTGTTTGTGCTGAATGATGGAGACCCAGCAGGAGGGTCTGTTTTAAAGAAGACTCGGGGAACGTACTAGGGAAGCAAAGTCACCTTAGTGATGATGTTCCAGAAGGCAGTGCTAACAGTGGAAAACATCTCCTTACCATGACGGAGAAGAGGTTCTGAGATGAGCCTGCGTTCCTGAGAGTAAAACCTCACTCAAAGGCTCTGATACAGACGCCCTGAGTTGGCATCATAGATGCCTTCCAAAAGAAGCTGCGCTGGATGGGTTCGACCCTGTGCCTGGTTAGAGGAGCTGAACTCAGGGATGGCGAGTAACCTGACCATATCCAAATGTCCCTGACACAGCACAGGACTAAATGTCCCTGCAACAAGAAGATTCAGAATATCCTATCAATCACTCGCTCTAAACTCGCCCTTCGAAACATGGTGTCTGCAGTCTTGCTGTTTCAGGAATGAGCTCCGCAGCTAACAAAGCCCTCTATACATCTTATACTTTGGGTGTCTTTCATAGCTAGATAAAAGATACCAGCTGAGAAGAATTTCCTCTAGATTGGCAGGGAAGGAAAAAAATGTAGAACTAACGAGCTGAGATCTTAGAACAAAGTTGAGTTAAACTCCAATCTGAAGGCATTCTTTCCAAGTTATACAAATTGAGTAGCCCTTGTCCAAAATGCTTAGAAAAAACCAGGGATGTTTCCAATTTTAGGATTTTTGAGATCTTTTAGTAAGGATGTGTATACCATTGAGATCCCCAATCTGAAATCTAAGATACTCCAAAGTCCAAAATATTTGGAGGGATTTCACAAAGTTTCAGCATTCAGACTTTTGACTTAGAGATGCTTGACTTAACTTTTCAGTGTTTTCAATACCCAAATGATAGGGATGGCTGGGTTTGTTATCAATAATGCCACAATGTCTATAGAAATTAGACTTGCTTCCTCAAGGTGATGTGAAAGGTGACGTCCAAGAGTGACCTTGTGACTCTTGGCAGTCAGCTGATTTCTGGTCTTACCTCTTGTCTTCAGCTATGTTGAACTCCACACAGTGCTTAGGTGCCCATAGGATTCTCAGCCCTCTAAATATTCCCTCGTGCATTCTCTGTGTGGAATGGCTTTCCCCTGAAGATGCTGGGTTCACCTTCAGTACTGGGGTGAGACACACTCCCTCCTGGGAGGAGTGAAGTACCCTATACTACCTGTGTCTCAGTATTTACTTCACTCACCTGCAATGCTATTGTGAGAATGGTTGCTTCTCCTTGAAGTTTTGACATGAAATATGGCAGAGGTGGTGCCTCTTGGACGAAGAAAAAGGAACACAAGAATGCAGATTTTCTCTGAGTATCCTCACACTCTTCAGACTCCACCCAGGAACTATTTAATGAACAATGGGTTACTACTTTGCCATCAAAGGGTCCAAGTACTCCCCGTAAAAATTCCCTACAGCCAAGATAGAACATCCTCTTATCCCATCATAACTGTTAGATCCACCATTATGGCTTGCTTCTACAGAGATTGTAGTTTCAAGAATGCCTTTCTGAGGGTCAGCAAGGTAGCTTAGCAAGAAAAGGCATTGGTGACTAAGCCAGATGGCCTTCATCCAATATCCAGTCCCCAGAATCCACATAGTGGGAGGAGAGGACTGCATGCAATAGCATGTGCATGTGCATGGATACACACACAGACACACACCACACTAAACAAAATGCTTCTTGAATGTGTACTCAGTAAGCCTATACTGTATAACGACATTGAAGTTTATCATGGGAGAACCTCTCCTTTGGATTCAAAGCAGCAGGTTTTTTTTTTTTTTGAAAAGTCTTTTGTTAAAAGATAACACCTTAGCAAAGGAAACCACAAGCCATTTGTTGGCTGCTAACATCCTTGAGAGAAATAGTTAATCACAGTTCTGACAGGTCCTAGCAAAGGCTAATAAATGCAGGTCTTTG